GAACAGAGCCATTTTCCCTCCCTTTTTTATTTCTCTTTTAGTCTTTCTTCCAATCCATCAGCATGAAAAGACTGTTGAATGAAATTCTCGAAAATACATACAAATATTTTAGACTTTCTGATAAATTCCCTCAAAGACATTGTAAATGGCAATTTTGATCATCACAAATTTCCTTTTTGTTGTATAGGAATATATAGTTGTACATGGCAGGATGTTTTCTTGTATCCCATAATATCCATAGTCTGTCTCTGGGGGAACTGAAATTTTAGATCTCACTTTCTTTAGTTCTTTGTTTTATTTAAAAAAAAAAAAAAAAGAGAGAGAGAGGAAAAAATTGTTCTCATTTTCTTTTTTCTTTTCAGGGTGTTATCTAATTAATTTCTTTATGTTGTTCTTCAGTGATTTTCCACCTACCCTTCATGCCAGTCCTTACAAAGAAACTAGTCATTATGGTACTGTCTCTATAACATTTCTCGTCAAGACAGTGGGTGAGAAAGTTTTAATGTCAGTCCTAGAATCTGCTCTGATGAGATTCTAATTAAGTTGCCAGTATAGAGAAAATTAGAAAATCACAGCAGTTTAAAGCTTAACCTTCAAGGAAGCTTGAGCAGATATGAATAACGTTATTTCTGAAAGACAGTGTGAGTGCAGTTGCGAGTGCTAATGTGAAGCGATGCATGTTCAGTACATCATCTTTCCACACTGTTAAGTGGAACAAGTCATAGGCAAGTGTAGGTTTAAGTGCTTGAGGATCGAAGATATACTCTTATTCTTGAAGGAAAATGTGGTGACAAAGGCAGTTTAAATGAAATCATATGGTCAAAAGTACCCCCTGTACTTTTTATTTGCCTCCAATCCAGGTCGTGGTTGGGCTGTACCTACATCATTTCACTGTTACCAACTCTCACCAGCCATAAACAACCAGACAAGTTTGTACGACATCTGAATATTTGAAGCAAACTCAGATTTATGATTACACTTCTATACAGTTTTTCATTCTGGATGGAGAGCTGTTTGTCTCAGATTTTACATCATGTTCACCATTCTAATATGTAGCAGCATATAAATAAGTTGTGGCAACTACATATATGCTTATATTCCACTCATTTGGAGATGAAGACATCTAAAGCAAACTTGAAGTGAAAACCTGCCCATCCACATTTTTATTTATTATCATTTTATCCTTCTCCTGAGTGAATAAACATTGGGACTGCTCTGTACAGATATACCTCAGTGATAACTTGCAGCTTTAACAATACTCCAGATTTTTGCCTCCACCTCTGTTTTTAATACTCCTATGGATTTCAACCAAAAAACCAGTGCAAATCAGCCAGGCAATCCCATGACAAACTCCACTAAGGACTTCACAGTTAACAAAACAATGAATGAAACATCATTCTGGCACACAGAGCAGCTTTCTGCTGTCTTCTGCCGCCTTTACGTTTTTTTTATCCCGAGTGGAAAAGCAACTTCAAAAACAAGGTGCTGTCATTTTAGCAAAGGAGAATTAGGACTGTGAAAGGATGAAGTGTCCTTGCACAGAAAGACTGCAGCTAAAATTGTATCAATATTCCTGTTATAAACTGATAAACACAGAGCTCCGTGAGGTCAAGTTGTACATGCTTGAGCTGACATGCCAATCTGCCAGCAGTCATATGGTTCTCATATGGCGACACGCCACAGATGCCAGGAAAATGTGAGAAGTTTCTGGCTCATTTCATTTCACTCTCCTGAATGCCATGTTTGCCTGCACACACACACACACACACATACACACACACAGAGTAGATTTTCTATTTTAAATAGAGCTGTTATAGCCCATGTATTCCCATTTTCTTAAAGGATATGCGATAACTCACCCAAACCGATTCCCGAGACTTCATAGCAAGACTTGTCTTGGAAATGAGAGCAGGTTTTTTTTTTTCTTACAAGCCTTCAAAACACTCCCCTAGCCATTTTTAAATGACATCAAAAGACGGAATTAGAAAAAGAGACAGACAAGATAACAACACATCATATGCGGATGCATTTTGCACTCTTGTAATATACATTAAGGGAAAGGAATCTGAAAAGTTTTAGTCGTCTCAAAATGAGACTTCTTCTAATCTCTAACAACATTAAAACAGCTCTTATTAATGCTTGAACAGCAGCAAGTATTTCTTTCTTCGGTTCTGTTTCTTCAATGTGCATTTTTGTATCAAAAATATAATGCCTCTATCTCATGGACTGACATGATAGTACATTAACAATTGTCTACAATCATATTTGGTAAACAGACCACAATTATTCATTGAGTATATAATGCACAATTTACAAATTGCTGAAATATGTATTTCCACATCAGACCATCCTTCAAGCTTTTACATTCTTTTGTGTCAGGTTCAATTGTCTTCAAGATGAATTGTTTTTCTTTTCCTTCTTATAAACTGTTACTAAAGGGAAAAGGCTAAGACAAATATAACTACAGCCATTTTTAATGGAAAGACTTGCTTCTACAACAGAGAGCGTACACTTCACTCTTGCTTCACCAATTTCAGCTACTGTGGTTTTAAATTAACTTACTTCAAACTGTTAATGGAAAAACATAAACTGGTTTTAGGCCTAATACAAGAAAACCAAAAATTTCACACTCTGTGTGTGTGTGTTTGTGTGTGTGTATGTGTCCACACACATGCAACTATACAAGGAGCGGTGATTTCTCCATGCAGGACCATGTTTGAAATTAGTTCACCCCTGGCACCTCACCTACCTTTGGTCAGAAATTCGTATTTAAGAATATTAAAATACCACATTTCTGGCAGCTTCAAACATTTTAGATTAGTCTACAGGGAAATAATTTCTGTTTTTCCAGTGTTAAGACTTTCCTCCTTAGGATCACACTTTCTAGAAGTTCAAGAACAGTAACTTTCTCATGCATAAAAAGGCTATCATTTGATAGTAATAGCCTCTAAATTTACAAAACCTGAACAAAAAATTTCAGAGAATTCTTCGTGCTCTGAAGATGTGAACAATTCAATAATAAACATTTAGATTTACTTTTTTTAATTTCCATTTACATGTCACTTGTGAATCGAGAGAGGAGGATCACCTCAGGTATTAAGACAGTAGCCTACAGTTAAGGAAAAGCAGGTTTGACTCCTTGCTTGGCCTAAAGTTTCCTGCACAATCCTGCTCCTTAATCTCTAACTAACTTCCCCCCCTTATCCCCTTCCCCAAACCTGTTAAGGTTTGGCACTTGACCTATAAATGTAGGGAACCAGGAATGCTTCTTATCTTGTGGGTTCAAATTAATGCCCTATCTGCATCCTGATGCTGGAGAAAAGCCCTTATTGTTCTTTCCAGCACCCTAGGTTTCATGGAAAAATGAGTGCAGATGCCAGTGAGAACACAGTTGGGCTTTGGTGCAGTCCCACATCTTGTCTACAGGGAGGCCGTGACCTCAGGGCAGGGCATGTCAAATACCAGAGGTCAAAGTCCACACACCAATGTCTCAGCTCCTGGCATGCCTCACGTGGATGCTCAGGCAAAAGACAAATAAAATGTGACATAAGAGTTCTGCAAATCCTGACATGACTTCTGTTACGTATCTGAAAGACAAATACTGGTTGTATTAAAACTAAACCAAACAATTTCCCTACTTAGAAAGAGAGTACTACTGGAATACCCTTCAGTAACAAATCCCTATTTTCCTGCCCTCAAACCATGGTTTTAATATTGCTTGCATAGGTCTTTCTATTTTTTTTAGGGTCTTGCCTAGCTTATCAGGCTTGTCAAGGTAACTGCCCCATAGAAATTGCTTTTAAAAAAAGGCTAGTCTCAACAGAATGATGAAACATTCCTGAAATATTGTGGCTTGAAAGTATCATCAAAAACAGTATTATGTGAAGTAAGAGTCCTCAGTACAGGTTTGGAGTTCCCTCTTCATCTTTTTCTTGAGGTCAATATCTGTGAAAAACGTCACAGACACAAACTTGGATCTACAGTCTTTTTTTAAGAAGTCTTTTTTTTTGGCCTAGTGTATTTACTCAAGGGATCCTCATTATTGCAATAAGAATAATAAAGAAGCTGAGGAACAGGACTCCAGTTTGTTTGTTACTCTCTAAAACACATACATTTGCACAAACGTTTTGGAATAAACATTTGTGTTTGTGCTTGCACAGCAATTAACAGATTGTAAATACCATCCAAAGTACGCCATTCACTTCGATTTATTGCATACACAACCCCCACTTGGATTTTGGTACATAAGACATGGGTCCTGATTAGATTTAACTTTCCTTCTATTGTTAGCCATCAGTGAGTATAAAGGAGTTCTTAAATGCAGTCAGTCTGATTTAACTCAATGTACTTCCTCTTGAGATTATATTAATGGAATCAAAACAGCAGCAGTTTCAAATATTGATTTCAGCATTGCAGACATTGTATATTGTGTATGTGCTATCAATACTATGACCTCCTCCCAGTGATCAGAACAATTTCTGTCCCCAAACAAATTAAAATATTAGAACGTAATTCAGATGGCAACACACATTGTACATGTAGCTCTATCTTAATACCCGAATCATAATTTTTTTTAACTTAATTTGTCAAGTTCATAACTATCACTTGAAACTTGCTGACAAGGAACCTGATAACACATCATATCAAATTCCATTTTACAACTGTTTCCTTGGAAACACAGGCATAAAAATGGGCCATGCACAATGGAACGAAATCAAAGAAATTAAAATAAACCTTAAAGAATTCCCACTAATCAGAAACTCTTTGCTTTGTTAAAATTCATGCAAAACCAGGGATAATGAGTCTTTCAATAAGAACATCATTGGTCCCACATTGCCATAGACCCTACTTGTTTTGGCCCTGATCCATCAAATCACTTTAACATGTATGCAACTTTAAATGCATGAGATATCCCACTCAACAGAATGAGTCATGTGCATAAGGTTATTCATGGACTAAAGAACTGCACAAGAGGTGGCTTTGTCTCCAGAGGCTCACTGGTTATTAGAGAGAGTACACACACACACAGATATATATATATATAAATATATATATATATATGCACACAGCAGACTATGCATACATCCTTGGAAGCCATGCTCAAGAATGAAAATAACATATAAAATCCTCAAGTCTTCATATACCATAAGTTATGACTTCTGATTATTTAAAACTGTGAGAAGATAACTGGATAAAGGTAGGAAGACATTAATTTTAAACAATCTGTTAATATGGGGGTATAAATTTTATTTAACATAAAAATTGCATGCCAGTTCAAAGAAGAAAAATGACTTTTTTTGTTGACCTTTGGGATTTTCTTTCATAGGTTCATAGGTTTCATAACCTATAACTTCACAAAGTGACTTTAGAGTAAGATTACAGGTCACCTGATAAGAGAACTGTGATGAGATTTACAGCTACCTTCCTAAAAATTTCCTGCCCATAAAGTTTGGTTTTGTAAATTACCAAGCAAATCAACAGTTTTCCTCCTTTTTATTGTAATCATTATGATAAAGATGGGTATGCAGATTTTTGTGCTTGCATTTGAGACCTAGCGCATCAGATTTATGTGGCAGGACTATCAAAATGTAGATATTATGCTGGCAAATGTATTCTTTCTCCAAGTAAAACAGTTACCATGTACCAGATAACATGTTAATTCTACCACTCCTAGGATTAAAAAAAAAAAAGGCAATCTGATCAGAGGCTTTTCAGAATACCATTCTTCTTTTTTTTTTCCATCTACATTTAGGTAAAAATGTTAAGAATAAAGAGGGAATTTCCCTTGAGGAGTTTATTCCATATTGTACATCAAAAAGTATCTTCTGTCTTTCTCTAATATAAGTGGTACCAACAATTCACTACTAACTGATAACAAAAACCTGGTTATTATATAGTATGTTCAAAGATTTCAGATCTCAAGATATTTTGCAAAGGAGTTATATATTACTGTCTCATTTCTACAGAGAGGAACATCGATGTACAAACTGACTTCTCATCAGAATTGTTTATTCCCCACAGATCTTAGATTTCCACTGAGGTATTTTAATTTCATAGATTTTTCAAGGATCTCACAGCAATCGGACTGTAATGGATGTCTTACTTGACCTAGGCACAGCAAAGAAGAGATGAAACCTAAGCTTGCAAAGGGAAAGATATCTAATGTAAAGAAGAAAATGGATCTCAAAGGCTGTTCAAAATGAAGCCCCTTTAGTAGCGTGAGTCCTTCAATTTCAGAACACAAGTCCTAAGACAAGGAGAGAAAATTCATAAATACTTGAATATTCACTTCTTCTACCTTTTCTCTTTCCCCATATAGAAAATAAATGTTAAAAGTACTCAACTATCCCTCACGAAACTTTTTTTTCCCAGTATTCTTGCCTCATTAGCAGAAAATGTGGAATATTTTAGTCACAATTTTGTACTCATGAGAACTTATAACCAGATATCATATAGTTGATATTTCTTTGGTAGTATACATCCGACTTTCCGGAGTTCACCTCCAGTTTTAGCAGTTTTTTCTTATATCTCTTGATGAAACCAAACCTTCCTTCCCCAAAAATCATGACTATTAATTTTTTCTTGAATCTTATCTATTCTTTGCATGGCAAGTTGACCCTTAAACTTTTGAGGCAAAGGCTATCTCTCACTAAATATTTGTAAAATGTCTGCTAGCCCTCAAATTTCCTTGACACAAGTTAATGCATAAGAATTTATAGGATCATTTCAAAACTCCAGAATATATCTTTTTTTTTCCTTTTTTTTTCTTTTTTCCTGTTGTTACGTTTACTTTCCCTTCAACAGCAGCCAGCTGCAGGAAATCTGATTTCCAGAGCCTTAGGATAAATGACTGAAGGTGTAAAACATCTCAAATTCTCTTGAAAATGAGTTATTTATTATCTATTCCCTGGGTAGAGCGGTACTCTGTTATTAATGTTCTCAAATGTTTTCATACTGCTGTTTTCCTCCCATGATTTCTGGCAAAATTCGTACATATAAGTGGAAGACTGTGTGATTTTTGTTAAAGTTAAACTTAAATCAGGTATATGTAACATAAAGAAAACCATGAAATGCAGTTGCTAGTTGTCACCGTTGGCATAAATTCAAATTGGCCAAGAAGGGACACATGGGAAAGTGTTCTTCTCTACTGCCCTCACAGTTAAATGTGAATGCAGTTTCGGTGTTTGCTAACTAAAGGTTTAGAACAGGATTTGATTGAATTTGATTGAACTGTTTTAACAGAAGTCAGTAGGAACTCTTGCCAGCTGTAGAGATAATTCTGAGAGTGCCCAGTTTCTTTATTTCATAGGACCTAATTTTACGTAAAATTTCATGCTCATTCTTGGAGATCTTCTATGAACCAGAAGATTGTTATGTTGCCTGCACAGTAGAAAAATACCTTTGTATTTCTTGGTTAGTAGTAGGTGGCAACAGCAGGCAAACTGAGGGCTCAACCCATGGATTTAATTTTAGTAGTTGCTAAAATATGGGTACATGCTTCAATGAAGAATGTGTCTTCTCACAACTGCACATGGCCATCACTGTTTATAGCAAAAGTTACTGGTACTCAGAGATAATTTTGTGTTGAGAGATGTGCCAAAATCAGCATGTATAAGCTTGAATATTTCTGGAAAATTGCAAAATTAATCCCAGTTGAATATAGGATTTAATATAGAGCTGCCATCTCCTACCAGGGACTAGAGTGTTTTTTTCTGGCATAGTGGCTTTTGGTCTCTTTCTAGTTATTTTCAAATTTTATCCTACACGTTTGTGCCAAATAAGTAAAATGAACAGTTTCAGAAGGCTTTAAATTATGTTGGTAACTAAAAGCTGAGTACAGCAGATCTCTGTAAACATGATAAGGCCTTTTGGCCTGGAAGTCCAACAGCAAAAGTTTTAGGGCTCCTGTTGGAGATTTCAATCTTTTTTTGAAACTTACTTTTATTGAGATTTCTGTTGGCCCTCTTTCCTCACCTTGTTCCTTCCTCTTCAGCTGAAACCATCACATTTATATCTCAGGAGCATTCAACATTCCCCACCTGTGTGGGAACTGTCAGCAGTGTGGGAGCTGCCTTTCACCTCCTGATCCCAAAACAAATTGGTTTTCCAAATTCTCTGTGAGTTCTGCTGTGTAATGATGTGACTGCCCAAAATTTGTAGAAGGATCTCCAGTGTAGAATAAAGTGGTGTGGACCGTCAGCAAAGAACTCTTGGTATGACATGAAAGGGAACTGCAGGCACTGTCCATGTAACACCATCAGGAATCTCCCCATGTAAAATGTAGTTAGTATCAAATCACCAAAATTACACACATACACTTTTTTTTTTCTTTTTTTTTTAAAATACACTGCCTCTCACGTCTCTTTTGTTACTTAGTTTCTGAACCTTCTTCCCTGTCTCATGGTCCTTAAGCATTTAGCTAGTCACGCCTTAGGGAGAGTGATTCACAGTGACTGAGAAAGTCAAAAGTCACTAAATTACCAAAGGAATGAAGTATTAAAATAAAATCTCCCTAAAGGTTGTTGATTTCTAATTTTATGTACAGAGAGGAGGGGCGGTGGGGAAGGTTTTGCTTTTCCCTTAATTCTGCCATATTGTCTGATTCACAGCCGGAGACAAACTGAAATGGCCATCTGGTTGATGTGCATACAAAAGGAGTGGTTTGCCAGACAAAGAAAGTACCTTTTATCATACAAAGCAATGCTTCTCCTCTTATCAGGCTTCCATTCTGTGGCTTTGGTGGAGCTGCAGGTAGGTAGGAGCAGACCCTACATACCACCCAGATGTAGCCCCTGCTGTTAAAATAGTAATGCAAGGACATAACGGTCCAAGGGCTCTGTGGTACATTCAATAACATGAAATATACTGCAATCAAACTGAATATTTTCAGCTCCTGGTTTCTGATTTTAGTTAAACCATTCTGAGTTCACTAATTTTCTCCTATCACAGGAGCAATTACAGCATTTTATGTTCAAATAATCATTAGAAATCAGGCTGGGACCACTGTGTAAATGGACCTTTCTGAATAGGGACATGTTTTTTGTAGCTATTCAATACTGTCCACAAATGTATCTGTGTCCTTTTTGGGATGGTAATTCTGTGTCCACATGCATAAAAGAAAAAATTGCATGAAAAACATCCTGGTTTTGACCAATATCAACTTTTGCATTTTTAATCAACAAACCCAAATACTTTCAAATGGACACTCCATAGTAGTTTGATTTAATCTATATTTTAGTTCAAACTGCTGATTGCAGTGTATCCACCACTCAGACATGACATATCACAGAAATTTTAAAAGAAAAATTGACAGTAGAGCATTGTGATAGCCATTCCCCTTTCATGGTGATAGCTGAACAGAGGAATGCAAGAAATTCATGTTTGTTCACATGCACAAGATATCTGCTGTGTTTATGACTTATTTTTCCCCTCTATGAGGTACATTCATTAGATGAAAGAGAGTCATATGTATGTAGCACTGGCGTTGTTGTTCAAAATCAATCCTTTATTTCAATTTTCTCATCCTCTCTTCTCCATTGAAACCTCCTGCTCTTGATACTGGACTCTGTTGATCTCCTCTTAAGGGGGTATTTCATTGCCTTTGCTGTGATGATAACTAGGGAAGTAGAACATCCCATTTCCCCATAAAGCTGTCCAGGGAACAGGAATGGAAATTGCCCTGAACTGCCAATGGAAGAGACTCCACTCCAGAGAATGGGCTGTTTGATGCTGATATTCCTGTTCTCCTGATTTCCTTTCATTTTAAATGATTTGTAAAAAAGATTGAAGCAACATGTTTCTGTAACTAGAATGAGGGTCAAAGAGATAAAACCTGCAAACAAACAAAAGGAGGGTAAGGAACGATCCCACTTTTTTAGGCATTGTTGGAAGTTCATTTCCTTGGTATATGGCAGGCATGGCAATATTATTAAATGTTCCCCAGGCAACAATTGCTAGGCTCCAAATTCTGTATTTTTATTCCAGAAAACAAAACATTTTCCTTTTACAATCAACTGTCCCTGCCATCAATACATAACAAAATAAAAGCTGTTTCATTTCAGACAGTGACTTTCACTGTATTTATGCTGTTGTGATATAAGGTCATATTAAAACAAGGAACAATCACCTTAAAGGTTGATCACAGAATACAGGAGTGTAATTGCAGCAAATATTCCAATAAGATTTTACAGGTCCAATGCATTATTTTGAAATAAATGTGCACAAAGGATGTCTTGAAAGATGTTACTGAATAGTAAGTGTCAGTCATGCAAGACGTAGAGATTTAAAAGCAGTCTTTGTATTCACAGGTCCATGACACAAAGTCCCTATTTGGAATGTGATGAAAGAACATTCAAGGACAAAAGCATTTCTGGCCCTAAATTTCCCTTCACTTCATTCAATTATCTAGAAACCTATCCTTTTCTCCTCCTCATAATATATTACTTCAAATTTCTATGCATTAAGTGCAACTTCCCTCTGTTGGGGAAAGACCTCCAGATTTCTCAGCCATGCAGAGGCAAATTTCAATTGGGCCAGGCTTTCTCTCCATTGATCTAACGTTTGTCTGTATTGAAATGTGCCGTGCATTACATGTCATGCGTTGTCACCCACTAAACAAGAAGCAAACCCATTCATTCTGCTCAAACCAGTCTCTAAAGGTGATTTCACATTCATCTTCCCACACAGGGACCCCTTCAAGCTCCTGTTCCAACAGGAGATAGCATCCTTGTAGAGGTCCACTGAAGATTGTGGTAGGGGAAAACAAACTCTGCAACAAGGGCTCTCCTCACTGTAGCTGTGGTTGGGGCTTGTCAGCCAAGTTACCTGATTTGGACTTTGCCCTCTTCACCACAGGAGCAAAGCAGACTCTACTACTCCCTTTGTGATCACCATGAGAAACAAACAGAAAATAAAATACAGTGAGGAGGTAGCCCAAAACAGAAAACTACCGGGATTTATCTACAATTTAGAGAGATCCCAGTTTGGTGTTGATTATGGCAAGTGCATTAATTTTTCAAAATAATCGAGTTCCAAAACCTTAGTGACCAAATGTCTAAATGTCTCACCGCTCAGGTTGGTTGCCATAATAAAGATGTCACGTATTCAAATGTTTTGACAAGGTCCACACAAGAACATCAAGGTTATAATATTGTATTTATTATTTTGTGCTGTTATATCAGCTCTATTTTGGAAATCGCATCATAGGAAATGCCCCTGCAATACTCAGATGTTTCCCTGGATTGTTGTCCTGGATGAACTGGACATTAGCAGCACAGTCACCTGTGAGAAGGTTCAGTTCTGGGAGAAGTTGCTCATACACCTGGTCTGCTGTGCTCCCTGTTACCACATAACAGGAAAAAGCAGGGCAACACCTTGTAATCCCAAATCAAACTTCTCAACCAAGAGAGCAGAAACCCTCAGGAGTTTACCTCCAAAATTCCCTCCTCGTTGTTCTAGCAGCACCTCTTTGTCATATCAAGGTTTTGCCACTACCTCTTTATCCAACCCCCAGAGTGCTGGAGCAGTGAAATACCATTTTGCCAGGTCAAAACAATAGGCTTACACTGGGCCATTTCTGTCACAGTCTCTTGGCACCTGTGTACTGGTGACAGGGAGCATAGCTCTCCTCCCATGCATGCAAAAAGTCACGTTGGTAGAGTGGAACAGAGGTAGCTAGTGCAAAGTCAACCTATTTATTTGTTTTGCAGGCATAAAATGTGCAAGCCAGGATGGTCAGCTGTATGAGCAAAATCAGTCAGATGGAACAGAAACCTGGAGTTTAAAATGTGACCCATGGTCCACACCTAATCAAAAAATAAAATACAAAAAAAATTGCCTTTGATAATGCTCTGTTTTACAGAGAAGTATGTGCCAAGGACTTATTCAGACCCAGTGAAGTTGTTGAAAAGACTCACTGCTGTTAACAGACTTTGAACCAGGCCAAAAGACTTTCTAGAATATTTCACGAGTAACGAAGCTAAAAATGAGTAGCTGGAAAAGCTAAGGGCGACAGGGACACTTTAAAATGTGGTGGTAGAAAACCAAACATGCAAGCGAGCAAACCGAGAAAGACAGTGACCATCTGCCACACGGAGCAGGGACGCAGACGTCGATCCACTTCTTGTACCAAAGCAGGCCGGGAAGATCTCGGGGCAGGATCCTGCGGGCGGGAGGAAGGCTGCCCTTCACTTCCTCTGTCACCTCTCAGTGTGTCCTTCTTGCTTCAGCCTGGCAATAGAACTTCAACCTGGAAGTCCTCATGTGCAAACTTGAAAACAGTTCCTTCCTCTAAAAAAAAAAAAAAAAAAAGAAGAAACCATAAAAATTAAGGACACCGTAAAAGGTCACCATAAAAAATAAGTATAAAAAGTAGAAAGAATTAGGAAAAATAAAGGAATGGATACTTTTCTTTGTCACCACGTTCAGGTAAGCTCACCTAAGACTCTTGGCTACTCACACAGTTGCACAAATGACAGAAAACACCTGGCAGGTAGCACCCTGTCTGTATGAGGGAGGAAACTGGGCGTTTCGGGCTGCTGGTGGCGTGGGTGGTTGCCAAGGAGGGACAGAGTGCTGCAGAGAGTCTGACCCCAGCAGGCTGATCCACCTTGTCAGGGGTGTTGGGATCCTTGCAGGATTGGGTCCTGAATGCCTATATTTTATAACTAGTCATGGCAAAAATGCTGTAGTCAGATATTCATACAAAACCAGGGAAACAGGAATCACTGGAATTAGGAGTAGATGTGAAATTTTTAGCATAAATGGGAAAACCCAGCATTTAATACATACCGCAAGGTTCATTTGCAGCCATATAATTGCTGTCAGCTAATGCCTGATAAACCCTGCCTAAATTGTGTTTTTATTATATCTATTTTATTATATATCTATATTTACTCTGACAAAAGTTGGACAAACTTGTCCAAAAGACTAGGGGTCCATTTTATGTGCTTGGGTGTCCAAGCACCTGCCAGCTGTTTGTCCCTTGAATTGAGGACATCATGTTTTCAATTTCCTTCAATAAAGCTATGAATCTGGCAATTTGCTGGCCTGCTTCAGCTAAACAGAAAGGACAATTTGAGAAAGATCATAGTTCAGGCTCAGTCAGACGGAAACGATTGAAAACAGAGAGCTGGCTGCTATGTTTCCCCAATGCAGCTTGCTGTCGCAGTTTGACTGACAAACTGACTTTTTTGAGGTGCTCATGCCCATTTCAGTCAGAGTTTATTGAAGGTGATTTTGATCTTCTCCATGAGGCCACAGCAGCGGCCATGCCATCTGTCACCTTGATTGCATCGTGGATTCTCTGGAGAGAGTGCGATGGCTCCTGATCATTTACAGATTGTGCTGCTTTCGCCTCCATAAGGACCACATGCACAGAGCCAGATGGTGAACATACACGCTTATTATAAGTCTTTATCTCTGTGCAGGAAGGAGAGGCACCATTAGATCTCCCTCAGGAGCTCTGCTCCTCTCTACCATCATGCTGCTCTTCAGCAAATACAGTCTTCTTCAGCTGTCATCAACCTACCTCTGAAAATTAAAAAAATAAACAATAATTCCATCAGCGCAGGCACGAGACGTACAGACGCTGCCACAAAGCAGCTCCCCCCGCCCCTTCCCCCGGCACACACACACACTCGGGCTCCTGCGACTGTCAGCGTTAGGTGGAAACAAGTTTGTTCGCGAAAAGACAGTTAATGTGCAATTAGGAGAGACTTCTTTGTGAAAATAAAGCAATGCCATCCTGGTTGTTCTTGGCACATTTTTAATTCAGCGCTTTCTCTCTTTAAAGCAAAAGCCTGAGCGCGCGATTGCTGTTTTTCCAAAGGCAGCTTTGTGTTTGTGTCTGTGTTTCTCCTGTCGGAGAGCAGTGATGGGATTCTGGTTGCCACGGGTTGCGTGGCTGAAATCTGACTGTCAGAGCTGGGGAAAGGAATGGGCTGCAGGGAGCTGTGCCGGGGCTGGGGCCTGTTGGGTGAGGGAGCAGGGCAGCCACCAGAGAGGCAATGGCAAATGCTGAGCTTATCAGTGGGCCACTGTAAATAGATTTGTTGAGTCCTCTCAGCAAAGAACGATCCTACAGTAACTCTTTGCAGAGGGAGAGGGGAGTTCTGGCAGCCTGCACGTCGCACAGACACTCACCTCAACTCATTTAATACATGTACCACACGCATGACCTCGGGTAGGGGCTGCCAGATTGCACAGTTTGAGCGTTTCTCTCTCCGAGAGTTCCGTTTTGGTTTTGCGGTTTCTGCATAACAAACACTTAATTCCTGGTAACACGGTTTTTCCTTGTTAGCTGCTGTGTTCCCACTAAGTTGCAGTTCCTCCTTTAAAGAACTGTAATTATTAAATTTCAAAATCTTAGCAGAAGAACCATTGCAGACACACATTTCTGGGCTTTGCCAAGCACAGAGCATCCTTCAGAGTGAAAACCTGGCCTACTTCCAACTACAGTGTCTTTCCTGAAGCACATGGAGATTAATTTGTTTGTTTCTTTCTTAAAAGTGCTTCTTTTCTGAAGACTGGATGTCAGGCAGATAAGATTGAGACACGAGACTGACACCTTCCAAAATGCTAAGGGAACTTGTTAAGGTCACTATCCCAGATATGGAGATAAAAATCAGGAAAATGAAAAGCAATGGAGTAAGAAAGATGAGGGTGATAGATGAAGATGTCATCAGTTACACTGATTTTTATTTGCTCTTTCTCTTTACATGTAAAAACAGGGCTCATATCAGTGTTGTCTATAATTTGCCTATATTAATTATTGGTAGAAATACTACAGTTGTTAAGTAACTTCTACTATAGGAAAACCTCAGCTTCAATATCCTGAGATTCCACTCCATTTTTCCCTTTATTCAAATAATGGGGAAGAGGAATGCATGTTTTCTTTAAAAATAGTTAATTTCTCCACAGGTAAAGCCATGTTTAAATGCTACCTTTGGCATCTCTCACAGATGATGACAAATCCTTTCTTTTCTTCCTACTTTTGATTAACTTACTGTATCAAATTTCCAATTTTGGCACAAAGCTTTTAATACTTTACAGAGTCCCCACAAATTAAAAACAAGGCTTCAAATACAAAATTAAATGAAATATAAATAAGGAAAAATAAATGCATGTGTTTACTGTATAGCAATCACAAGCTTATATCAGTTATCAAGCTTATATCAGGGCATTATATTAGTCATTCTGCACAACTGCATAGGCTACTAGCCTATGGTGTTATACTTTGTAAATTTGTAATTCCACTAGAAAATATAAGGCCTCTATGTTGGTATTACAAGGGCAGTACATAGAAAAATCCCTGTGATAAGTAGCAATTGTTTTTACCCTCTTTTGTCTGGGTCTGTCCATCCCTAGTATCCCTTCCAAATTAGGCTAGCATGTGGCTATCATGTATTCCCTCTGTGGATAGAATTATATATTGTGTTCAAAATCTCTGATTAATCTGATTAAGCTAGTGAGTGACTAATCCTTTAATCTCTTTGAGAGCACTGTTATGTCTGCTGTGTGTCAGATTTGTAACTAGTAATCAGTTAAGTAAATGCTAAAAGTTAAGCAAAAACTATTTTGGACCCACTTTAGCAGCTGCTTTTGGTTAGTGACCTTTATAGTTGAAATTGTGTGGAGAACATAAGTGAGAAGAAGAAATTGCTTGTGGTGGCAAATCTGCTGTTGCAACCATATCAGTCACTAGGACCAAGTTGCTGGTGGTCCCCTAGTCTTCAGTTAATTATAAATAAACAGGTAACTTCCCCTTTGCTTTGCTTCTTTTGCTCTGGAAAGCAAATACAACACATGGTTTCTGTGTATTTATAATTTAGAAAGGAAATTCTGTTGCTAATTAATTTCCAACTGTTTGATTTACTCTTTCTGTTCATTAAAGTTGTCATTACTGTGCTCGGTTTTGATGGGATAGAGTTAATTTTCTTCATAGTAGCTGGTATGGGGCTATGTTTTGTATTTGTACTGGAAATAGTGTTGATAATTTAGGGGTGTTTTCACTATTGCTGATCAGTGCTTACACATAGTCAAGGCCTTTTCTGCTTCTCCCCATCCACCAGTGAGCAGGATGGGAGGTGCACAACGAGCTGAGAGGGGACACAGCCAGGACAGCTGATCCTAACCGACCACAGGGATATTTCATCCCATATGGCATCATGCTCAGCATATAGAGCTGGGGGAAGAAGAAAGTGGGTGACATTCGGAGTGATGGGGTTTGTCCTCCTGAGTCACTGTTACATCTGATGAAGCCCTGCTTCCTGGGGATGGCTGAATACCTGCCTGCCCTTGGGAAGTGGTGAATGAATTCCTTGTTTTGCTTTGCTTGTGTGCATGCAGCTTTTGCTTCACCTACTAAACTGTCTTAAACTCAGCCCACAAGTTTTCCCACTTTAAGTCTTCTGATTCTCTCCCCCATCCCACTAGGGTGGGGTGAGAGAGTGGCTGCATGTGGGGGTGAGTGGGTTTAATTGCTGGCTGGGGTTAAACCACAATTGCAAAACCTTTATGTGAGTAAACACAGGCACATTTTGAAAGCTGCACTAAAAAAAACCAAAACTGTTTCACCTTAATAAAAGGAAACTGTGTGGAAGGAGATCTGGGGCAGGGGAAGGAAAATGTGCAATCTTCATATAAAAAAAAACCGTGTAGACCTATTGCTGGCAGATGTAGAAGCATCAAGTCAATATGGTAACAAGGATCAATATGCCCTCAGGCAAGATATGACTATGACAATGCTGAATGCATGTATAAATTTACCACTCCATCTAGCTGCCTAGGAATAAATTCAACGGAACCGTGCAGAGAGAAGTAAATCTTGAACCTGGTATGAAAGTCAGAGAGGTGGCCAGGGCACCAGGTGACATTCACAGGGGTCAGTGGGAATATTCCAGAGGACCTGGCCCTTAGCACTATCCTTTCTGTTGTCACCCAGGTCCACATTCCCCACAGTAGTACCCATTGGGAATGCATAAGATATGTTCAGTCTGATTTTCATGGGGGCTACATCCCAAACTGGCTTTTCCTGGTATTTTACATTTGCAAGTTATTTCATCCAGACAATCCTTTATTCCCAGACAGGCCACCTGAGTGAAGAGGGGCGTTGATTTTGTGTCACAGAGGCAGTGGAATGTTTCTTGAATGTCTCCTTTGAGTCATTTTCTTTGGGGAGGGCAGCAACTTATGGGCAGCTGAGGACTGGCAGAGTAAAACTTGTGGTGAAATGACCATGTTTGCTCACTTTGTAGAAGAGATCATCCAGGCCTGTCCAAAAGTTAAAAAAAAAAAAAAAAAGCAGACACACCAGATTTCTGTAAACTCACTTATATAATGGCTTTTCAAGGAAACCTTGGATGAGGAACATCCATTACTTACAATCACAAATAAAACCATTATAGCACTAGAGGTCTTTTATATTT